GACCGCGGGAGCGGCGTACGGAAGCCCGGCGAGCCGTGGTGAGTCTCGGCACCTTCCTCGGTGCTGCTGTCGAACAGCGCTTTGTCTGGCGTTTCCCCCCTTCTCCCCCCCCCCTCTTTTTTTTTTTTTTTTTTTTTTTTTTTTTTTTTTTTTTTTAAATTTATCTCTTTTTTTTTTTTCTTCTTCTTAATGTGGAAGCGTACGGTCTGTTTGAAATCCATGTGGGTTCTGCCCCCGGTAACGGGGAAGGGTCTAGCACCGGATTGCACGCTCTCTTACATGCTCAATCCACACAGGTGTGCACTTTCATCAGTTTTCAGCTGCACGGTGTCACTGATATTTGTCCCTGGGTTAATTTTAGCTATCGCTTTAAAGCACCGCATTTCTGTTTCCAGTCAAAAGTGCTTCTGTCATAATCCTCTGACAACACCCCTTGTTCAAGGAGTGAGGTATCATCCGGTAAAGTTTTATATATTTAACATTCATTTTATAAGTGAGCAGAATAAGTAACAGCTTTTCCTTCCCCGTTTCTTTCTAGGGAGAGGCTGAAGTTCTAACCATCTTCCCATGGCATCTGACGTTTTTGAGGAGGAGGTAAGGCTCATGTCATGTAAAATTACCCTCTTTATTTCTGATGTTCTACTAATCTGGCTTCTGTAGGCGTACATTTTGGAAACTGGTGAGTTCATGCATACTTTCATGCATTGCAACATAATACCAGAGCTGATTAATAAATGGTAGTGATAGGACTCTTATGCCATCAGGATTGTAAGTGTCTATCAAACCAACATTCTCACTACATTATGCCACTATTATATTCTTTGCAGTTTTAAAAGAACTGTAGATAATTCTTCAAGATATTGAAACATTTACTTTATAGTTCTATTGCTGTGGTTGTCACCTTCACTTTATATCAAATTTGAGACTCATTTCTTAAGGATGTCTCTATTTTCTGCTTTATTTGCACATTGATAGCTCTACTGAATGACTAGTCACAGCAACTTTTTCCTCTGATAGAAGCATATTAAAATGTGAAAGCCTAAGACTAATCTGCTTTACAGGACTTTTCAGCCTTTGATTAAAGGGAAATGGGAAGTTTGTTTCAAGGCTCTTGTTTATGTAGTTCTATCAGTTCTGTTAACAAATATGAGGTTTGAGGATACATTTGCTGCTTTTCTTCATTTTTACTGAAGGTACGTACATTTGAAGGTATGGATAAGTTCTTGGTATCAAGTGTTTGTCTGCTTTGCAGCTGCCAGAGAAATGATGGTAAAATTCTGTACTTTATATATTTTTGTCATAACTTCCTGGAATCGAAACCATTAATGCAATAGAAGAAACATTTACTATTCAATTCCTGCTTAATGATGAGTAGGATTTATAGGCTGGCTGTGCGCTCTTCATTTTATTTAAATTGATACTTGTGAATTTAAATTCAGCCTGTATAAATAAGTAAAGTCACTATTTTTATAGCCTTCGGTGTGATGGGCTGGTCCTGCAAAGCTGTTTAGAATGGTCTTTGCTTACTTTAGTAGTGGGACTCTAGTAGTGTTTTTGACTTGAGGGGAACTTGGATTTGAGATGACTGCACAAAATGTGGTGACCCAAAACGTAGCAATATTTGAACCTGCATATTTGTTTTTCTACACTGGTTTCATTTGCATAATTTCATTTAGGGTGTGCAAACATACATCGTATAGCATAAAATAGCTTAATAAATCAGTGCATGAACATGTAATAGGGATCAGCTGTGAATATTTTCTTTCTGGGAGGGGAAAAAGAGGCAGAGTGATCTTGAAAATAACAGCAAACTATATTTTAAAAGTACAGCCACTGGTAGGCTCTAACTGTAAGTTGTTCAGTTGCAGGTGGCTTGTAATGGATGGAGTTAAACTTGGGTATCTTGGATATGATACACCTTAATTTAATTACTTTAATAGCTACTTTCTGTTGAAACTTTAAAATCTAACGATCCTGCTTTTATTGCAGTCTTTAAAGATCTAATCGTTCTTGTGTGTGTCTGAGATGTACAACTTAGTGCAAGGAGAGGCAACAGATTGGTTCCGTCATACAATTTGGTTGGGTTTTTTTGAGAGTACTTAAAAGATTATGATGGATAATGCTGTCTTGCCAAAGAATGCCGACACAGGTGTTCATCATTATCTTAATTAAGATCCTGAGAAAATGTCATCTTTCGGCATGAATTATGAAGGGAGATGCATTAGAGATCATTTCAACCTTTTTTTTTTTCTTTTTACAGGGGTAGATGAGAAGGAGGCTGTTTTCTCAAAACCTTTTTGATATTTCTTTATCAGAATACCTGACCTTAGACACTTACTGAATAATTTGTTTCTCCACTTCAATTTGTGAATATATTATCAAGAGATCTATATGTGATGTTAAAAGGGATCCTCTTTAAAAAAAAAATAAATCTCCCCCTCAGATACTCTCTGTTCTGTTTAAAGCTGTCCCTATAAACAAAAGACTAAGGGTCAGATGGTGGTGGAAATTGCTGCTGGAAACATCTGCTAAGAGATGTTTTATACAGTGTATTTTAAAGTATTAACAACTCAGAACAAAATAAATATATATGAATATTTACCTTTTTAATTAAGCATGAAGAGAAAAAAATTTCCTTTTCTCACCTTCACACCACCATGGAAGTAAAACTAATTGGTGTGCAAGACGAGGGAGGGGCTTGTGGTTTTCCGTGTTGAATCAATACATTATTAGCTGAGCGAGAGCTAGAGCAGTGCATCTAAAATATTGGCTGAAGCATCGGCCATAAAACTTAGGGACGATTTCCTGCAGGCACTTACTCATGTGCATGTTGCTGTTGGCTTCTCTAAAATGAAGTGCTGGGAGTACTTGCAGTGGAAGTGCCCATGTTTGGTGGCTCTAGGTGAATGATCTTGGGAAGAGCTCTGCAAGACACCCTTAACTTCTCTGTTGATCTTCTGCCTGCACTTACTTTGCCCGACACTCTACTTGTTAGCACTCTCTGTGTTTGCAGTCTGAGACCAAGCTGTAAACTTGCGAACACCTAGAATAACTCTTCTATGCCTAGCAATTGGGTATTAGGTAGCTTAGACTTTTGTTTTTCTCAGCAAGCCTTTCTATGTAAAATCACTTTTTGTCTGCTAAAAGAAACCTGATTATCAGTCTCAGTCCTTTTTTTAAATTGCATCAGCAAACCTATTTAGTATGTGGAATAAAACCATACACAGAAGTGCAGCTGGCAAGCCTTTCAAGCACATAGTTATTGTATTGAACATGTAACTCCAAAGATCTTGACAGTATCATGGGAGAACCTGAAACTGTGTTTCAGTTTCCTTGAAGTTTCCTGTAATTAACTTAAATAGTGCTATTTGCTTGAAT